GGGGGGGGGGGGGGGGGGTAGTATAGAGGGGGGTACTAGTTGAACCCATGAGTATTCGACTATTGTGGGACCAAGGTCTTTTCATACTAAAATTGGACGCGAAAGAGAGACGGGAACAGCTGCTATGGCAAGATACCCTTGATACGAACAACCCTGCATGACCTTAGTATACTACAATACCAGCCAGAATTCCCAAGGTTTAGCGAATTTAGTGTCATGCAGAATGTCCAGTATCCACCGTATTGCCGCTATTTGGGATTGGAATGGATTTTTGCACCTAAGCTCAAGAAATGTTTCCTGGCTGAAGGTTGGATTTTCCTACCTAGCCTTACACTGTAGATCCCTAACCGTTTAGGGTGTATGGTTTAGGGTGTAACCCTATATAACTTCTATAACCCTGAGATAACCTTATATGAGCTGTAGTCGAAACTCCTGTATCCCCCGTAAGAACCCCCATAGTAGCGCCCTATATAATCCTCGATATACCCCCTATAAGGAATTCATACTCTAGCTCATATGATCCTGATAGGACCTTCTACCATAAACCCTGAACCCTACAGCCCTAATCTCTAATCCCTAAACCCTAAACCCTAATCTCTCAACCCCAAACCCTTACCCCTAAACCCTCAATCCCTAAACCCTAAACCCTACATCCATAATCCTGAAGCCCTATACCCTAAACCCTGAAACCCTAAGACCCTTAATCCCTAAACCCTTAGTCCCTAATCCCTAAACCCTAAATCCCTACCTAGGTTCCAGAGCCTGTCTTCAGGCTGACGCTGACAACGTCTTTGTTGGCACCGCAGCTGTCCTACAGCATCACTTTTTGGAATGCCGTGGGGTTTAGGGTTGAAGGGTTTACAGGGTTTAGGGTTTAGGTTGGGTACTGCCCCCACCCAGTAACAGTCTATATTAGGGGTCCTATTAAGGGCTATATATATAACCATAATATATTTATTATCCAACTGTTACTGAGTGGGGGCAGTACCCAACTTGAAACCCTCAAAAACCCTACAGTCCTTACCAACTTCAAAGCCCTAACACCTTCTGACACTCGCAAAAAC